GGCGCGGAGGACCGCAGACGGGGCCGTGCGGGGTGGGCAAGGGCCCCTGGGCCAGCCCCGACCTGACGGGCCCTTGGGCTGCTCCCCAGACCCTCTCCACCCGGGACCCTGGAGTGGATTCCACCACAGCTTCCCACCAGCCCCCCCCACGGGGGGCTGCCGGGCGTGGGTGCAGCACCGTTAGGCTGGGAGGGAAGCGAATCCACATAGTTTGCCCCAGGAAGAAACTCCGTGCTTGGAAATCTCACCCGTTATTTTACCCCCTTGGAAGAAGCAGCTTTTAAAATTTTTTATTGAAATCAATGAGCAGAGTGTTTAAAAATGACAAGTTTTGGGGCTGGGAAGGTGGCTCAGTGGTAGAGCGCTTGCCTTGCATACATGAGGCCCTGGGTTCGATTCCTCAGCACCACATAAGCAGAAAAAGGCGGAAGTGGCGCTGTGGCTCAAGTGGTAGAGCGCTAGCCTTGAGCTGGAGGGCTGAGGGACAGCGCCCAGGCCCAGAGTTCAGGCCCCACAACTGACAAAAACAAAAAAATGACAAGTTTTTCATTATACACCGGACCTGCCTGATGTCAAGGCATGTCGAGTTTGGCATTGCCATCAAACACTAGACCTTCTCACCTCCAGAAACCTGGAAGCTAGCATGCAATTAGGATGATGGTATCTCCTATTCCAGATTTCCATCTGCCACATAGACACATCCTTTAGACCACAGGACAATGTCTGTGCATACAAGGTGATATGTCCCTCATTCCTTGGGCTCCTACCAAAGTTCAGCCAGGTGACGTGTCAGGATTAGCTGTTTGCAGGACTGGCTTACCCAGTCCTGGCATGGTGTGTGTGTATAGATTGTACAGCATGGACTAGGGAGGGGCCCACGTTCCTGCTGATAAGTAGGTCCCAGAGTAACAAAACATTTGTAGACCTTTACTAAGACTGGAATTTACTTGTTGAGGATCTGCCTGTGCCAGAATAGGATTTAATCACTTGGGAGACCCATTTCATAGAATTTATATTCAATACCCTACAGATCACAGACAGTTCAAAAAAGAGTTAAAAATCATAGCAAGGTTGGCAACACAAGAAATCAGAGACAAAAAGATTGGGAGCCATCTCCAGGTTATGGACCAGAAAAGGATAGGGAAGTTGACCCTTATAAGCAGTGTGTGTGTGTGTGTGTGTGTGTGTGTGTGTGTGTGTGTGTGTGTGTGTGTGTGTGTGTGTGTGTTGTTGGAATTTGAACTTAAGGTTTCATGCTTGGCTTTTTCATGCAAGGCTGGTGCTCAACCCCTTGAGCTACACCTTCAGTTCCAGCTTTTTCCTGGTTAGTTAGAGATAATAGTCTCTTGGATTTGTGTGCCCAGGCTGGCTTTGAGTAGCGAGGATTATAAACACACAGCTCTCTGTGTGAGAGTGTCTTTCTTGAGGATTGTCGCCTGGCTCAGTGAGGTTCTTGCAGGACCTTCCATCTTTCCCTTAGCCCTGGTCTCTGATGCAATAATGAGCCTACTGCGGGCTAGATTTTGATTTAAGGCTCACTGAAAACTTGTAGGGCAAACTTATTTTTAAACTGTGCTGATGTTTTGTCCATTATAAGTCAGCTTGTAAATATTACTGTGAAACCCCACACATGATCTTGACATTTGGAAAATGCTCTTGGGAAGTGGAATCAGGACCATACCGTAGAGATGAAGTCATGTTCTGGAACTCTCCATGGCGGCCAATTCCTGCTTCTGTGGGAGTGACACCAGCCCCACAGGCTGGGAGGGGATGGGGTTGGCTCTGAGCACAAGTTGCCTGGGACGCTTGTGGAGTTTTGAGAGACGCCTTGTGGAGGCTGTGCACACACCTTTGTGTGTGATTTCTCATGGGTGTGTGCATGCATGCATACATGTGTGTGACTGCATGTGTAACTGCACAGGAGTGGTGGTGGTGTACATGTGCATGCATGCTTGCACATTCATTTCGGGTAGCAGGTTTATGGGGTCCCAAGCACCCACCCCCGACTGATGTCTGCACTCTGGTAAGTGATGAGTTGTTTCTGTGATGTTCTGAGTTGACATGAAGTGTTCTTCAGCGAGAGAATCACTTTGTGCTACTTAATAGCTTTGCATCACAGCTGTACTTCTGGCTTCTTCTGAAGTTCCAGTTGCCTCCTCCACATTGAGTTTTCTAATCTGTAAGTCATGTGGCCTCTCTGAATTAATCAAATCTCCATATGCTAGTATTTCAAGGGGGATTACCCATGTTATTTGGCCAACTAGCTTAGAGTTCTGAAAGAAAATCACTTTCTTTCTTTCTTTTTCTTTTTCTTTTTTTTTTTTGGTCCAGTTGCAGGGCCTGAACTCTGGGCCTGAGCACTGTCCCTCAGCTCTTCAGCTCAAGGCTAGCGCTCTACCACTTGAGCCACAGCACCACTTCCGGCTTTTTTCTTTTTGCTTATGTGGTGCTGAGGAATCGAACCCAGGGCCTCAGGCATGCAAGGCAAGCGCTCTACCACTGAGCCAACTTCCCAGCCCCTTTTCTTTCTTTTTCTATGTAGGTCCTGGGGCTTGAACTCAGGGCCTGGGCACTGTCCCCGAGCTTTTTTGATCCACAGCTCCACTTCCAGCTTTTTTGGTGCTAAATTGGAGATAAGAATCTCAAGGACTTCCCTGCCGGGGCTGTCTTAGAACCTGGATCCTCAGATCTCCCTAGTAGCTAGGGTTGCAAGTGAGAGCCACCAGGGCCAAGACTGTTTTCTTTCACTAGAGCCTTTCAGGAATGTTGTTTCCCCTTCCCCCCCCTCCCCATCATGGGGCCTGAACTCTTGGCCTCGGCACTGTCCCTCAGCTCTTCAGCTCAAGGCAAGGCAAGCACTCCACCACTGAGCCACCTTCTCAGTCCTTTTCAGGAATGTTTTTAAGAGTTGATACATGCTTGTAATAATACTAATAAAATTTATAAAGATTTACTAAGTTCAAAATCTCTTTCCCTCAGGATAATCTGCTGGTACCAGGGTTTAAACTTGTGCTCAATTTTGCTGCTCATGTCTGAGATCCTACCACTTGAGCCATGCCTCCAGTCCAATTTTGCTAATTAATTGGAAAGGAGTCTCACAGATTTGTTTGCCTAAGCTAGCTTTGAACTACAATCCTCAGATTTCAGTCTACTGAGTAGATAGGATTACAGGCATGCACCACCAGTACCCAGCAAGAGAAACTGTCTTGAGACCCTTTAATGTCTTTATAAACAAAAATCTTGATATGCACACTGTTGTGTATTATTGTATCTTTGTCACTTAAGGATGTGTGCTTTGTATCTTGCTGTGTCAATAAACAGAAGTGTGTGCATATATACAGACTGTATATATGAATGGAATCATATGAGATAGTACCTTACAGAACTATTCCCAATTTTTGTTATAAGTAACATTATCATGAATATTCTAGTTTACCCATTTTTGGACATGTGTCTGGTTGCCTCTTTAGATAATAAACTCCTGGGGAGGGGGGAGGCTGGGAAGGGATGGGAAGGGTAAACAAAGGAGGAGGCTGCAATGCTTGGTAAGAAATGTACGCATTATCCTGCCCATGCAATTGTAACCCCTCTGTACAGTATGTTCACAAATAAAATAAAATAAAAATAAAAAAAAGATAATAAACTCCTGTATAGAAATTACTATATCAGAAGTTCTGACATTGAAAGTTTTGATACATGTTGTCATTTTCCCAGTACAATGAGCTAATGTGCTCTTTTTTTTTTTTTTTTTTGAGAGGGCAATCCTGGGGCTAGAACTCAGGGCCTTGACACTATTTCTGAGCTTTTTTTGCACAAAACTAGCATTCTTCCACTTGAGCCACAGCTCCATTTCTGGTTTTTAGTTGGTTAATTGGAGACTTTCTCTGATGTACCCTGAGGAATGCATCTGTTCCCACAGCCGGAGCATCAGCCTTTATCAAGCATGCCATGGCCTGGGAGTCCCCCGCCCAGCTGCGCTCTCCTTCCAAGCCAGAGTCAACCTGGCAAGCACGACGCAGTGACACACCCACAGCTCCCCAGAGCCAAACAGGACCTCACCTGTCAGCACGTGCTGAGCAGATGCCTCTGGTGAGTGTTCTGGGTCATGTGGGCCATGGGGGGTGGGGGGGAATACCAGGTGGGGTCAGGGGTCTCCAGTAAGAGGGCCTGCCTATTTGGGACAGGACAGGAAACCAAGGAAGAAGCCTAGAAAAATGAAGTAATAGCCAAGCCTTCCAGGATGCAAGGGCAGGGGGGCTCATGTGTGGCCCTCCACCCTTGAGGTCCTTCTTCTGAGTAGAGCAGCATGGTGGTTGGGGGACAGGGAGGGATGTAGGGAGCAGGTGGCTGTGCAGAAGGTTTTCCTTTGCTCTTGGCTTCAGGTCCTAGTAGCATAACAGCACAGGGCCCCCATGCTCAGGGTGCTGCTGCTGGGCCTGGGGGCCAGGTTGGGGGACAGACAGGACAGAGGTCAGGAAGAGAGGGGCCACAGAGCAGGACACCAAGTCTGACATGGTGAGCATTCCAAGGTGGGAGACTGGACAGCTGGAGGAAGTCTGGAGCAAACTCATAGTCAGCTCCTCTCTGCTTTTTAGGGAGTTGCTGGAGTGCTAGAGCCCCAGTTCACTAGACAAACCCCACTGCTGCGTGTTTATAGACACAGCCACACTGTCCCATTCACTCTTGTCGGTGGCTGCCTTTGCACTACAATGGCAGGCTCAGTAGCTGAAGTACACACCTGCCGGGCCCATACCTCAGACACTTGCTATCTGGCCCTGTACACCCCTGTGTGTGTCCATTCTTACTTGGCTTTCTCACTGAAGGCTGCTGCTCTACCACTTGAGCCGTAGCTCTACTTCTGGCTTTTTTGCTGGGAGTTTCTCAGATTTGTCTGTCCGGACTTGAACCTTAGTCCTCAAATCTCAGCTTCCTGAGTAGCGAGGGTTACAGGCATGATTTGTTGGTGTCCAGTGTGCCCTAGTGATTTGTAATGAGGGGCAGTAAAAGGTCCTAAGGCTGGAGTCTGGGGGGAGGGGGTGTGCTCAGGAAGCCAAGACCTTCCTTGCCCAGCAGAAGCCCCTGCCGTGTAACTGTGCATTGAAGTTACCCGCAGACTTCCAATGCAGGGCTGGGGCGTGGGGGCCAGAGAGAGCCATGCAACTACCGCTGCTACCCAGTGCCTCCCACTGTGAGTTGTTCTGTGCTGAGAGACAGTCCCTTCTCCCCGGTTCTCCATCAGGAGATTCCTCCCCTCCCGCTAACGTTTTTCCTCGTCATAATAAAGCCTTTTTTGCACCTTGGAAAACAAACACAGATGTGTGGTTTGGACGGCTGGATAACTTGTAAGCCTCCACAGTGTTAGGGGCCCTCAGAGCTGGATGGAATTACCTCTGGACGTGGCTGCACTCCCCAGAAGAGTTTGTGGGTTAGCTCTCTTTCCAGCTATGACAATAGGTGGCAGAGAGCATCCCTCTGCCCCCGTGGACATCCCTTCATATGGTGTGGGTGCTGCTGTGTGTCATTCCTAGCACCCCAGAAGTGCTTCTGGGAGTGGGCCAGTCGCTGAGCCAGGTGCTGAGCTGGTGCTCCATGACCTACATCACATACCCTCGGTGAGGCTCAGAAATGGTGTGACTTATGTCCAGGCCATTTGGTTAGTGAGCTCAGGCACTGAGATTGAGCCATGGCGGATGCCTTCTTCCTCACCTTTTTGGCCCTGATGTTCTCAGCTGCCCCCTCCCCACTCTCCTCCCTCAGAATGTGTCCTGGAAGCCATCACCATTGCAGCTGCTCTGTAATACCCCGATGGCATCCTGTCCTCCATCAGCCTTCCCCAGCGGCCCCCAGAGCTTCCGCCCAGAGGACAGCCCAGCTCGCCTTCGTGGCCTGTCCACATGCTTTGTCCTTCCTGACTCATAGCATAAGGCACGCCCCGCTGGACACTCGTGCCAGTTTATAAGGACTTCTTTTCTGATTCTCCTGCGGGAATCCAGCCCCTACCCCACTTCCTGACTCCATTCTTCATCTTTTGTCCTAAGTGTACTCGCTGGCACGTGAATAGATACTCAATAAATATTGGAAAAATGGATGGGGGATGGTGAATAGATAGGTGGGTGGATGGATGGATGGATGGATGATGGATGGGTGAATCGATGGGTGAGTTGGTGGATAGGTGAATGATGGATTATGGATGGTGGATGGAAGGGTGTATCAATAGTGGATGGGTGAGTGGATGGATGGATTGATGGATGATGGATGTGTAGATGGATGGGTGGATGTATGGATGGTGGATGGGTAGGTGGATGGGAGGGCAGATGTCTAGGAGAAGTTGAGGATGACTGTCGTTTAGCCCTATCAACACGTCTAAGTCTTCGTTCTCTCTGCCCACTGCAGTTGGGAGAGTGCCTTGCAGAGGTTGAGACTCATTGTGAAATTTGGTCAGGTGCTTAAGCAGTGGACGGCAAGGACTGGGCGGGGCCGCGCCACCCCACACTGAGATGGGTTGCTCTCTTCTTGGCACCAGATGCTGCCCTAAGACTTGCTCAGTTTTCACCTTGAGCCCTGCTGGGGCCTCCATGGCGGGTGAAAGGGAGTCCTATACCCCAGGCCAGGCTGTGTGCCGCTCACCAAATGCCCTCTGAGCAGTGTGCTTTCTGAACTTCAGATTCCTCGGCCCCACAGAAAGGAACCATTGACAGCCTGAAGGTCCAGCCAGGAGCCTGGGGACCGCCAGCCCTGCCCCCTGCTCACCCACAAGATGTGGCTAGCCTTCATGCTGCTCTGCCTTTCCTCCTTGCCCCTACCTGGAGGCCAGGTGGCATCGAGTGAGCCGAGTAAGTAAAAGCCTTGTGATGACCGGGTGCCGGTGGCTTGTGTCTGTCATCCTAACCACTCAGCAGGCTGAGCTCTTAGGATCATGGTTGAAGCCAGCTCGGGCAGGAATGTCCAAGAGACTGTCCTCCAATAAACTACTTAGTAAACATCGGAAGTGGCCCTGTGGCTCGAGTGGTAGAGCGCTAGCCTTGAGCAGAAGCTCAGGGATAGCGCCCAGGCCCAGAGTTCAAGTCCCAGGACTAGCAAATTAAAAAAAAAGCTGCATGACAGCTGCACAGACCCCAGTGGCCCCAAAGCCCAAGCCCGGGAGAGAGAGGCCTGCGAAGCGCAGGCCTCCCCCGTGCGGGTGGGCAGGGCTGTGGGGCAGAGCCCGTCAGGGGCAGGTGGGTGGAGAGTGCTCAGGGGACCAGCAGCGGAGCCCTCAAGTGTCTGCAGGCTTAGCCCTGTAGAAAGTCTCACATGTAAATCTCAGTTTCCCCTCTGTCTGTGCTCACGTAGTTCATCTCCAAAACCCTCCCTGGGCTAAGAGCTCTTCCTACATGTGAATATCCGCACAGTCATTCAACTGCTTTGTGTAGATTTTTTTTTTCTTTTTTGATGCTAGTGTTGAACTCAGGGCCTGTGTGCTGTCCCTGAGTTTTTTTGCTTAAGGCTGGCTCTCTCACTTTAGCCACAGAGCCACTCCCCCATTAACTGATTTGTAAACTCTGGAGAGGGAGTGTGTAATGAAGGACTCTGATGGGTTTGGGGTTGGATTTGGTTGTTTGGGTTGTTTTCTCCTCCCTTACTGGGGATTGAACTCAGGGACTCCCTCTTAATAGGCAAGCACTTTACCATCTTGAGCCATGCTCCCAGGTTCTTTTGCTTTTTGATTGTTTTCAGATAGTGTTAGACTAACTTTGCCTGCGCTGGCCTCAATCTAAGATCCTCTTGTTTCAGCCTCCAGAGTAGATGGGATTACAGGCACACAGCATTTTACCTGATCCTTGTTTTTTTTTTTTTTTTGCCAGTCCTGGGGTTTGAACTCAGGGCCTGGGCACTGTCCCTGAGCTTTTGCCCAAGGCTAGTACTCTAGCACCATTTCTGGCTCTTTCTGTTCATGTGGTACCGAGGACTCGAACCCAGGGCTTTGTGCGTGCTAGGCAAGCACTCTACTGCTAAGCCACATTCCCAGCCCTGTTTCCCCCACCTCCTCCATGGCGAATCACAACTGGAATGTGAGATTTTCTGTCATGTGGAGAATTAGATCAAAATTACACTCTTAAACGTCCCATGGGCTGGAGGGCTCAAAGAAGACTTAAGAATTCTAAGAGTCTTAAGAGCCACGGGCTTTTCCAAGGGCTACACAGCCAGCTATGAGTGGACAGAAGAGATAGAGTGTCCACCTACTGCCCTCCTAGCCTTGGGCACTGGGTGGAGGAAAGGCTGCCACACAGCCCCTAGGGCGGAGAGCTAAGAGGACAGCTGAGTGATCCTCCTGCACATGTTTGAAAGTGATTGTGAGCTGGGTGCTGGTGGCTCATGCCTGTAATCCCAGCTGCTCAAGAAACTGAGATCAGAGGATCACAGTTCAAAGCCAGGCAGGACAGGAAAGTCCTGGAGGCTCCATCTCCAGTGAACCAGCAAAAAGCCAGACATAGAGGCATGGCTCAAATGGTAGAGCTGAGTACGTGCCAGCAAGGCCTGCCTGCATAGCCTGCGTAGCCAGTGATGTGACTGTGACTCTCCCCTTGTTTCTGGATTTGAGGATACTCAGTGTCTGACAGAGCACGGAGTGCACTGGTCCAGAGAAACGCATCTGTGGACGCTGCTCCAGGGGCTCAGGCGTCTGAGATGCCCCCGGTGCCCCCCTCTCTCGTCACTGTGCGCAGCCGGACGTCGCCAGCCGATCTCAACCTCACTCACGTCCCAACAGGGACAGCGAACAGGACAAATGCGAGCGTTCCAGCAGCCCCGGGAAGTACGGCTGGCGGTGCGGCTTCCAGCGCCCCCAGCGCCACGTCTTCACAGCGGGCCCCGTCTACGACTGCCGCCGGGCTGCCGCCTCCCAGCACCCCTCACGCACAAGTGCCAAGTACACAAGCCAGCGTGCCAACAGCACGTACAGCCGCTGCCCACACGGGCAGCGCCCCCAGCACCCCGGGCCCTGCCGGGCCCACGTCTGCTCACCCTGCTGCCAGCCCCACAACCCCCACGGGTCCCCAAGCACAAGTTCCCACTACCATGCCAGTGGTGACCCACCAGCCAGTGCTCACCACAGCAGGAAGGACCCCGCCCCGCCCCCCGGACGCCACCTCAGAGCCCACTGCCCCCCGCCCCTCCGTGGCTCCAGTGACCTCAGCAGTGGTGCCCACCACCCAGGCACAAGCCAGGGAGACAGCTGCCAGCAGCGTGCCAGCCCGCCACACCAGCCCAGCCCCCACAGCAGAGACCACATCCCCCACGCCACAGCCACGCCCCACGCCACCTCACTCAGGACCTGGGGGACCGGGCGCATCTCAGACACCAGGGCACGGGGAGACCAGAGCCACGCCTGGCACTGGGCCCACACCTTTGAGCTCAGGGGACCAGAGGATGCCAGCCACGGACTCGTGCGAGCCTACTGCCCAAGTCCCATACCTGGTGGTCACCCCCAAGCCCCTGGCTCCATCCCTGGTGAACAGAACGTTCCTCCTGGTGGTGCTGGTTCTCGGGGTGGCCCTGTTCGTCACGGTTGTGGTGGTGTTCACCCTGCAGGCCTACGAGAGCTACAAGAAGAAGGACTACACGCAGGTCGACTACCTGATCAACGGCATGTACGCGGACTCGGAGATGTGAGGGCGCGGGCCGCCCTCCGCGCTGGCGGCTCCGAGACCCCACCAAGTGCTTCCAGATCCTTTGGTGCAATTTCAGAGGAACACCAGAGAGATGCTTCATCGCTCCCAGACCCGTTCCACGATCATGGAAGAGCTGCTTTTTTCATATTTATTTTTGTAAGCAGTGTGGGCACGGGGTAGCCGGTGATTGTGCGGCAGGGTGTGGTGGCCAGGGCATGCAGGGCCGCTGGCCCACTTCATCCTGGTATGTCTGGTCCCCAGAATAAAAACAATGTGCCTCACCATGCAGTACCTCGTGCCGGTGCACCCTGCCCACAGTCACTCACGGTGGAGCCTTCCTCGTGCCCCAGTGCCTTCAGTGTGTGTGTGTGTGTGTGTGTGTGTGTGTGTGTGTGTGTGTGTGTGTGTGTGTGTGTGTGTGTGTGTGTGCGCACACCAGTCTTGGGGCTTGAATGCAGGCCTGAGTGTGTGTGTGTGTGTGTGTGTGTGTGTGCGCGCGCGCGCGCGCACACCAGTCTTGGGGCTTGAATGCAGGCCTGAGCTTTTTTGTGCTCAAGGCTGGTGCGCTATCACTAGAGTCACAGATCTACTTCCAGGTTTTTGGTGGTTAATTGAAGTAAGAGTCTCAGGCTAGTTTTAACCTCGATCCTCAGATCTCAGCCTCCTGAGTAGCTAGGATGACAGGTGTGAGCCACCAGCACCCGGCTTAGGTTCTGCTTTTATTTTTTTTTCAGCGCTTGGCCTAGAATCCAGGGCGTTGAGCACACGAGGGCAGCACTGTGCCACGAGCTTTGTCCGCAGCTCCGTCCTCCTTCTGGAGTCCAGACATACTCAACTAGTTTCTCACCTGCGCAGGCTGAGCTTGGTGTTTGGTCCTTCTCTGCCCGTCTACCTAAAATGGTGAGCACCACTGTGCTCCACATAGTCTGAGGCACCTTGTGCTGCAGTGTTGCAAACCAGGTTGACAGCTACTGACTGACCAAAGCCAGTTGTGGAATGTTCTGGAACTCGGCTCCACCTGGAAAGTGGAGAGAGGCATTATCTATGTTATCCAGTAGCATGGTGTCTGGCCAGCAGACTTGCTTCTCAGCTTCTCTGACCATGGTGGTTGAGGTTGCCTCTGCCTGGAGTCTCCATTTCTCCTCCCAGAGACTGCCAGGGGCAGGGGTCCAGCTTCTTTTCTAAGTTGTGTCTTGTCCCCTTGTCCTGAATGGTTGAAAAAAGAGCAAAGCCACAGGTAGGGAGAGGAGAGGAGAACGTGTGTGGCTCTCACCTCCTGTCAGCTCCGCCCAGGGCTTGCTCCAGCCCTCATGCCTCAGTCCCCCCTGCCCAGCCCCCGGCCCCAAGTCGGTCTGGCTGTCTGTATGGACAGCTGCTTCTCTTATCTGCTTCTCCCTCACCACACCCCGAGCCAAGTAGGATGTTTAATTACAGGTGTTCGTCTAGAGGTGGCTGGTGCCATCCTGTCTAGAGGGCAGGTTCCAGCGCCTGGCTTGTCTTTCTGTCCTGAGTGAGACCCGCTTCCTGATGTTGGCGCTGAGTCTGAGAAACCACGGGATGCCCGGGACACAGCTCTGCCCCCCAAACTGCAGAACCAGGAGTTCTGGAGGATGCGTTTCGCTCTGCCAGGCATTGGCCCTCTGGCCTTAGGAGCAAGGTTCCTGTCCCGGCTGCTGGACATCCACCGGAGAGGGCCATGTTCCAGGCATCCTCAAAGGAGGAGGGGCAGCCACAGGGCCAGTCTTCAGCGTGTGACCAGGGGGCCCTGCCAGGTGCAGTCAGCCCGTCCCACCGAGGGCCTACAGTTATCTACAAGACAGGCCCAGACAAGCAGTTTCATTTAGGGATTCCCAGGGAGATGAGGTCCCAGGGCGCCCCCTGGTGGTGGAGCTTCACCCCCTCCCTTCTCTGTTATTCTCCCTGCTGTGTCCACCTCCCTGTGGTCCACCTCCTTGCGGTCCCTCCCCCTGCCCCCCAATCCCTCTAGCTAGCCCAGCTCAGAATGTAGATTGGATGGTGTCATTTGTGACCTCCTCCCCCACAGAAAACTGCTCAAGGAGACTGGCCCCGAGCCTCTGCCCCAGAACCAGCCAGCTGGGTCATTTGAGGCAAACCAGCCCACTCTGAGCCACTTGGCTTAAAAATGGGGACAGCTGGGTGCTGGTGGCTCTTGCCTGTAATCCTAGCTACTCAGGAGTCTGAGATCTGAGGATCATGGTTCAAAGCCAGCCTGGGCAGGAAAGTCCATGAGACTCTTTTTTTTTTTTTT